ATCAGGGTAATATTAGCCTCAGTAAATGAGCAAGGATGTATTCTATCATCTCCCACTTTGGGGAAGATTTTATGAGGAATTGGTATAAATTCTGTCAACATTTGTTAGAATTCACTGGTAAAGTCATCTGGGCCTTGGGTTTTATTTTGCAGAAAGTTGATAATTGATAAATTATCAATTCAATCTCTTTACTTATTCAAATATTTTATCCTCTGAATCTATTTTGGAAATTTATGTCTTTCTAGGAGTTTATTTATTTCACCAATTTTATCTAATTTGTTGCCATACAATTATTTTTGGTACTCCCCTAAAATATTTCTGTGGGTGGTTAGTAATGTCTCCTCTTTCATTACTGTGTTTACTCATTTGAGTCTTCTCTCTTCTTGGTCAGTATTTCTAGATGTTTATCAATTTTATTGAACTTTTCAAAGAATAACTTTTGGTTTTTTATTTTCTCCATTATTTTTCTATTTTCTATTTCATTTATTATAACTTGAATCTTCCAGTTTCTCTGATTTCCTTGCTGTTTGCTTTGGATTTAGTTTGTTCTTCTTTTTCTAGTTTCATAAGGCTCAAAGTTAGGTTATTGATTTGAGATTTTCTCCTTTTATGGGCATTTACAGCTATGAGTTTCTCTCTAAGCATTACTTTAACAGCATTCTATAAGTTTTGATTCTGTGTTTTTGTGTTCATTAAACTCAAAATATTTTCTAATATTCAATGTGATTTCTTCTTTGAATCATTGATTATCTAAAAGTATGTTAATTTTTACATTATTTCTGAATTTTCAAATTTATTAATTTTTAATGTAATTAGAAATTATTATTAGATAACATACTTTGTTAGTTTACTCCTTTTAATTTATTGAGACTTGTTTTATGGCCTAAAATATGATTCATCTTAAAAAAAAAAACAAGTTTCACAAGTACTTGAAAAGTATATGTATCTGATGTTTTGGGGTAAAATGGTCTATCTGTAAGTCTAATTGGTTTATAGTTTTATTTAAGTATCCAACTTAATTTTTGATCTGCCTGTTTGTTCCATACATTGTTGAAAATTAGCTTACGTCTCCAACTATTAGTGATGAATTGTCATATTTTTCTCTTCAATTATGTCAGATTTTGTTTTATGTATTTGGGGGCTTTGTAACCAGATGCATATATGTTTACATTTCTTTCTCTTTACTACGGATTAATGCTTTCATTGTCATAAAAAGTCATTACTTGTCTATATAGTAACAATGTTTTCCTTACAATTATTTTTGTCAAATATGTTTGTAGTGAGTCCTCCTTCCTTATGGTTATGTTTATGTATAAGTAGAGGGATATGTATACACATCCTTCTATTTCCAACTTATTTATATATTTGAATCTAAAATATACACCGAGTGGCCAGAATATTATGACCACCTGACATTTGTAGACAAATTAGCTATAATTTCCCGCTGAAGTTGCTAGAGGGCCAGATCATTATAAACATCTGAATAGCACAACATACCTAAGTATCGTTGCTGATCAAGTTCATCCTATCATGTTGATGGCATATCCCAATGGAGATGGCTTCTTCCAACAAGACAATGTGCCATGCCATGGTGCTCATATTGTGCAGGAATGGTTTCAAGAACATGAGGGAGACTTTACCTTGCTTAGGTGGCCCCCACAATCACCAGACCTCAATCCAATTGAGCATTTGTGGGACAAAGTTAAAAAAGCCATCAGGCAGCTGGTTCCACAACCATCAAATCTCACAGAACCGGACAGTGCTATTCATCAGGCATGGTGTCAGATTCCTCGCATCACCTTTCAGTATCTCGTGGAGTCAATGCCAAGAAGAATCACCACAGTATTGAAGGCAAAAGGTGGCCCAACGAAGTACTCATGGGGTGATCATAATAATCTGGCCACTCAGTGTATATCTTATAGGAAGCATATAGTAGAATAATGATGTTGAGTTCTTTCATCAATTCTGTCAATTTCTGGTTTTGATTAGAGTTTTCAATTCCTTTACATTTGATGAGGTAAGATTTACACTTGGCATTTCATTATGTTCTTTCTATATATCTTAGATAATTTTTGTTTCTGTATTCCTCAAAAATTGCTATTTTGAGTCAATTATTTTAGTGTTCATTTTAAGTACTCTGTTGTTTATTTTATTATATTTTTAGTTATTTTTTAGTGGTTACTCTTGGATTACAATTAACATTATAAACAATTTAGTACAAAAGTATACTTAATTTTGAAAGTATATAAAAACTTTTTTCCAGTGTATGTTTCCTTTGCTCTCTTTTGTGTGATTATTGTAAAAATTATATCCTTATACATTATAAATCCATAAACATAGTTGTACAATTATTGCTTTATGTAGTTGTCTTTAAATCAGATAGAAGGAAAAAGATTGGTACGAACAAAAATGCATTTACATTACTTATTTATTTACCTTTACTGTTGCTATTTATTTCTTCATGTATGTTTACATAATGTCTAGTGTCCTTTCCTTTTAGTATAAAGAACTGCTAGTAGCACTTCCACCAGGGCAGATGTGCTAGCAATGAATTCTCTCTATTTTGTTTTTCCAAGAATGTATGAATTTCTTCTTAACTTTTTAAGGATAGTTTCACTAAATATAGAATTCTTAACTGACCATCTTTTCTTTCAGCACTTTGAACATGCTGCTTAGCTGCCTTCTGACTTGCATAGCTTCAGATAAAAAGTCACTGTTAATGTTAGTGAACATCTCATATATTTTTTTCTTACTGTGCTGCTTTCAAGATTCTCTCTTTATCTTTGACTTTCGAAAGTTTGACTATGCCATGTCTAGGTGTGCATCTCTTTGATTTTATCCTGCCTTGAATTTGTTAAGCTTGGGTGTATATATTAATTTTATAAAATGTATAATTAATTTGTAATTAAATTCATAAAATTAGAAATGTTTTCTAACATTATTACTTGCATATTGTTTTTGCTCCTTTCTCTTTCTTATCCTTCTGAGACTCCCATTATGTTTATGTCAGTATCCTTGATAGTTTCTCACAAGACTATTCATTTCTCTTTATTCTCTTTTTCTATTTCTCATACTGAATAATCCCAATTGACTTATCTTTATGTATGCTGATTCTTCTGCCAACTTAAATCTGCTATTGAAACCTTCCATTTAAAAAGTTATTTCAATTATTATACTTTTAGCTCTAAAATTTCTATTTTGTTCTTTTTAAATAATATCTATCTCTTTATTAACAATCTCTATTTGCTAACATATCATCTAATATTTGCCTTCTCTTTAGACATGGGTTCTTTTAATATATTTATAAGAGCTGATTTAAAGTCTTTGTTTAGGAAGTCCAACATCTGAGCTTCCTCAGAAAGTTTTTATTTACTGCTTTTTTCCATATGTATGGGTCATATGTTCATTTTGTGTGTGTGTGTGTGTCTCATAATTTTTTTAAAACTGGACATTTTAAGTAATACAATGTGGCAACCCTGGACATTGGATTTACCTGTTCTCCAGGTGCGTGTGTGTGTGTGTGTGTGTGTGTGTGTGTGTGTCTGTGTGTGTGTGTGTGAGAGAGAGAGAGAGAGAGAGAGAGAGAGAGAGAGAGAGAGAAAGAAAGAGAGAGAGAGAGAGACTGAGAGAGAGAGAGAATATACTCTCTGGGTTTACTGTTTTTGCTATTGTGGCTATTGCTGTATTTTGGTTTTGTTTTATTTTGTTTTTTATTGACTTCCTATAACCTACCACTCAATCTCTGCTTATTAGCTTTGTGGTCAACTAATTATTGAACTGAGATTTCCTTAAAGACTGAATCAATAAGATTTTATTTACTCTTTGATAAGGGTCTCTGTGTGTATATTGGTATACGCTTGATCTAAAGATCTCAAATTGGCTCCAACTACATTGGTAAAACCTTAGTTCAAAGCATCCACATCCCCTTCCCTTTTCTTCCAAATCATAGGTGGCAACGTACATACTTACAAGTTTCAATAACAAACACTTAGAGTAGTGAAATGCTTTTGGTTCAAGAACCCCTTGAGAATCTTATGAAAACCATGTGTCATAGCTCCAGAGAAATGCATATATGTCCATGATTTGGGCTATAATTTTTGAGGGTTTGATTAAATTTCTTGATCAATTTAAGAGCTACAAACAATATATTTTTATAAATATGAAGATATACGGAGAAAGGTGAGAGAGCAGGGAATTTTGAGGCTCCATTTTCATAAAGGAGAAGAGAAAAATATCCCTAGAGGGGAAATGACTTGCCTAATGTTAGATGATAATAGACATGAGCCATATCCAGGTCTCCTAATTCCTAGGTCAAGATTTACCTCACCAAATTTCCTTGAATTATAGAACCAGTGATTTTTATAGGCCCTGAGTCCCAGACAAGCTCTTACTATTGTGGTTTCTCTAACTAGATCTGACACTCATATCTAATGCCAAGGATCTTTAGGAAAGGGAGATAGAGGGAAATCTGGCCTGTCATCCAGCAGGTACTAAGTAGATTTATATGGTTACACTGTGCCCAGCATGATGGAGGCATCAAGGGGTCACAGAGAAAGTCTAAGACATAAGACAGATAATCTAATGTGAAGACAGAACTAGGTCATAACACAATGTTGGAGCAACCCAGTATGGAGTACAAACACTAGTCCGAGAGGAGAATGGAGAAGTTGGTGTAGGTATGAATATAAAGGCAAGGCTCCATGGAAGACAACAGAAAATTGAAAGATGGGTAAAAACTAAAGAAATGGAGGACAGAATAGAAGGTATTTGTGGAGAGGAAGGGTAATAGCAAGAAAAGAGAGAAAAAGGGGAAGGAGTACAGTGAAAGGGAAAAAGAGGACCAAGTCTGAATGATCCTCTATTTCTGAGGGTTGTCAGTGGTTTTCTCATAAAAACTTCTATCCTATGGAGCCTCAACATGCAGCTCCAGCTTTGATGTCCCTGTTCTGGGGCCACCCTCGGAAGCTAACCATTTCATGTGTCTGTTTGACTCTTCACAGCTCCCTTTCACTGAAGGCCTGTACCACTTTTATCACAATGGCCTTGCAAAGGCCAGGAGAAAACGCAGCCTACACCACAAGCAGCTGCTGGAGAGAGACCCCAGGGTAAGTTTTCCTGGAAACCTATCTTCCAATTTCTGCCACCAGATGCAGGCTCACTGGGGTAGCATAAAGAGGGTTGCCAGGGAATTTTGAAGTAAAGCCATTCAATGTATTGAGATGGGCCAATTGGATCCTTGGCAGAGTAGCACGGAGGACTCTCTGCTCCTCTATCTTGTGTATTATAAATAAGCCTTTAATAGGACTGGGAGAAGAGTAACAAGGATACCACCCTTTACTGGCTTGTCTTCTCCTGCATTATTGTGTGAGACTTTCTGATTGCCTGGGAAGATGTTTTGGCCTGTGATGGGTGGAAAGACACCAAGCAGGTTAGGGAGTCATTTTATAGAAGATTTCTACTGGTGTATCCTCATGCTCTGAGGAAGTTGTCATGCCCCATATTAGGAATAGAGAAAATGAGCTCACAATAGGCAGTGGGCTTCTCAGTATCCATGATGGTTGCAGTCATGGGAGCATCTCAGCTCCTCTTCTCACCTTGTATTTTCTCACACTGACTTAATTTATCACCATATTTCAATGGTCTTTTTAATGCTCATGTCCTTATTTTTTTAACCTCCAATCTTTACCTTATTCTTGGAATCCAGGTCTCATTTTCTATTTTTCCTAGCACTTTAAATTCAATATTCCTGCAGCCAAACTTATCATCTTAACCAAAGTGGCAACTTTTTCAGTGTTCCCATTCTCTGTTTTCAGAATAAAAACTGGTCATCACTGAAGACTTCCTCTTCAAATTTTGTGGGCATCCCATATATTTACATTATTTATATTCAATTGGATAGATTCTGATTTTCCCTATGCAATTCACAGAGGAAAATTAACAATCCAGGCAAGTTGCTCTCTATTCATTGAAGATGCATAACCTCTTCACCAGGACTCTTGAAGGAAAGTGGATATAAAGAGGGTCAGACATTTGAGTTACAGATTTACACATGAGACTCCTTTTGAGCTTATGGAATTTGTAAATTCATTCTGGTGAGGCATTTCATATGAACATTTGACTGAGTTTAATTCAGGCTTTAATTAGCAATGTAGATGAAACAGGGTTCCCAGCAGATCACCAACTAACAGGTCATAGGCAATTTGCCTTTAATTCCTCAACCCAGGGGAACCCACATTCTCTGTAGTAGAAATTCTACTTTGAGAAGCCACTTCATCTTTACTGTCAGACTAAGATTCAAGCTGCATGTGCTGCCAGCCAATGCCAGGCATTCTCAAAGTGTCTGTTGTAGAAGCTGGAACCACTATCTAAGGGAGCAGTTCTCTTTTCTGTGTTATAGCAGCCTTAGCCTGACTACAATTCAGTGGCCGGGTGCCCTTGAGAAGCTCATGGACAGGGATCCTGTCTTTCTCATCTGTGAATCCAGGGTGGGCAACAGTAGTTAAAGACCACTCTGGTCCACTAGGACACTGGTTTTCCCTACATAGCATCTTGATCTTACCCTTTATGGCCAATTGCTTTCCTTTTATTTATATATTTTCTTATAAGTCCCATTGGTTTCTCCTCTTCCATGACTAAAGATGTTGCCCCAAGGTCACTAAGAAAGAAACACAGAAAAGAAACTGGAGCAGAAGGAAAGATGCTTGAAAGATGTGGGCTAGGAAAGAGAACTGAGGAACAGTGAAACTAAGAAGTCATTGGTTCAGAGAAACTTCTTAGGGTTGTTAGGCTAAAGTTTTCTTATTCTTGCACTTACTCGAAATGATTTTTGAAATGCTGCTTCTTAAAGTGAGGAGTGATGTCTCAAAAAGAGAAGGAAATAAGATGGGTTGGGTAATAAAAAATGAAATCACGCACTGGTGATTCTAATCATTTATTTTCCTCCTCAAAATATTATCTACTTTAACCAAAGGGGCATCCATTCTACCTTCATTGCCATTATAAAGGCCGTGGGAGTCCTCTGCCTCTACCTGGTTGAGGTATTCATCTTCCCTGCCCATGAAGATGAACAAAAAATAGCAGGGAAACTAAAGATCATAAATCTCCTGCACCTTTTCTCTGTCTTATCATTAAGGTTGAACATCAAGTTCGTTGTCAATAATAAAATCATTCCAGGAAAGAAATAAAGCATAAAATCTCATAATTCTTTATTTTAAAAAAAAACCTGCTAGTGACGGCTGCCTTGTTTTAAAATATTAGATTAAGGCCTGAGTCTTTCCTGTATGATATTCTTGTGGTCATCTAATTTTGGCATCAGCTGACAGCAAAACATGGGGATGACTATTCTTTAGCTATGAGCATTGCAAAAGTAGCAATGTGAGGATTCTGCCTTATGAGCTTATACACCTTAAACAAAAGGGCAAATAGACCTGAGTGTTAGGATGCCTCACATTTTGGGTTCTCAAACACATTCAAACAGGTTTCCAAAAAAAAAAAAAGTAAATAGAAGTATAGAGAGAAAAGGGGAAGAACCAGGTAGCCAGAAAGGATTGTTGACCCAGGCTTTTGTCTCTTGCATAGATATTGCAAGTTACATCTTATGACTCAAGACATTAAAAGCAAGTTGTTCGATCATTCTCTGAAACGTGTTGTCTTCTAGACCTACAAACGTACACATGTTTCTGGCCCCACGTGCCTTTTTCCTCCTGTCTCTGCGTTGCTTCCTGGCCTCTTTCACTGGCTGTCCTCCCACTTGTGAAGAAGAATGCAAAGCCCAAGGAACCAGGCACATAGAGTAGGAGACTTGAGCTGCTACAGGCTCCCAGGGATGAACCCACCCACCTAGCTTTGTAGCCAAAGAAAACACCAAGGTCTGCTACCAACCCAAGAAATAAACAAGAAAAGGAGAGAACAAAATCTGGTTTTGATTTTGCTCTAAATTCAGAATAGAAATTCCAAGGATGTTTGTCCCTCACTTAGCAACTAATTTTTATCTTTAAGGAAAACAATAGAAAGACTAGAAAAGGATCATAAGTGCTTTTTGTCTAGGCCAGTGATTGGCAAACCGCGGCTCGGCAAACTGCGACTCGGGAGCCACATGCGGCTCTTTGGCCCCTTGAGTGTGGCTCTTCCTAAGCCTTAGGAGTACCCTAATTAAGTTAATAACAATGTACCTACCTATATAGTTTAAGTTTAAAAAATTTGGCTCTCAAAAGAAATTTCAATTGTTGTACTGTTGATATTTGGCTCTGTTGACTAATGAGTTTGCCGACCACTGGTCTAGGCCAATAAAGTGTTGCTTTTAACATGTATATATATGCTCATCAGTATACAGGGCAATAGTAAGAAAATAGAGTCTGATACAGACTGCTTCAAACGTGTTCTTGCCTTTCCATTTCTTTCTGCTAAAAGGATTAGCAGAATGTTGAAAAGCATCATTTAGATGATAAAAAGCAAAAGTTGTGTCTTGTTTTTTGGGTTTTTTTTCTGGGTATCTTGGTATGCTGCAGTTCTGAGTACATAGTAGATTAATAATTTTTCTTGGGGGTTTTAATTCATGAAGTAGTATTATTTTTTCTCGTCTTATTTTCTTAATATCTTTATTGATTTTAGAGAGGAAGGGAGAGGGAGAGAGAAATAAAAACATCATTGATGAGAGAGAATCATTGATTGGCTGCCTCTGGCAGGCCCCACACTGGAGATCGAGCCTGCAACCCAGGCATGTGCCCTGACCAGGAATCAAACTGAAACCTCCTGATTCATAGATCGATGGCCAACCTCTGAGCCATGCCAGCCAGGCTCTCATCATATATTTTTAACCCTATTCTAAAATGTGCATCCATTAGGAAACAGAAGTATAGCTTTTTGTAACCTCTTCCTTTAGATACATTCTTAATTGAGAGTAAAGAAAACCAATTACCATTTCATTATTTCTAAATCTTGTCACTGAGAATCTCCTGAAGAACCAGTTTTTTATTTCCAAAGTCTAGCACACTATATTCCTGGTATATTCACCATCCTAGTACAACCACTGAAGCAAGAACAATATGTTTAAAAAGTTTTGGTAGCTAAAATTATTTGAAAATATAATAAATACATCCAAGTGAGATTTGTTCATCTCTGGCTAAGAGTAGCATCAACAAATCTTGACACCAAACCTAATTGTAGTCCATGGTCTACATATCAAACCCCAAAATTTCTACAAGTATGTGGAAAATAAATGTATTTAAGATAATATTTGTTCACATTTCTGTTGAACTATATTTGTGTATCTGATGACATAGCATTGAAATAAAATACATTAAAAACACAAACTCACATTGTTAATGAGCAACACACACTACTCATATGGAAGCCCAATAATTTAACAAAAAATAACCTGAACTTCTTTTGTTGAGAGGAGTTATATTCAATTCAAGAATTATAAACATTTATTACCTTTCCTAAACAATTTTGCTAGGTCTTACAATTATTATTTAAAATCATTTTTAAATCTCTGTTAATTTTATGAGTCAGAAACTCCTATCAGTCAACTGAAAATGTTTCTCTGTTCCCTGTCTCAAAGAACGGATGTTTTCCTTATCTAAATGTATGTACATATCTAATGATCATAGATGACAACCACTTGAGTTATATGACATATTTTTGTTTTTCATGGGTCTAATCTGAGCACATTTGTGAAGCTTTAGTGTACTCCAAAAACCCACAAAAGTTAGTTTCCCAGGATAGTCCTTCAAAAATCCCACAGAACCATACCACCAGAACAAAAGAGAATTTTACCTACTCTTTAAAATTAACTGGATGTGACTGGTGTGATTTGTTTGTAAACATCAAAATAATGAGTAAACTAGGCTTTCTTTGTTTGTGCGAGTTAAAAATCCAATAATTGATATTGTTTTCAAAAATGGATTTATTATCATGGTTGAGACTCAGGTGGTTGACAGAGCTAAGACCAGCTTGTAATTACTTTGGGTTTTTTTCTGACATGACACAATAATGCTTTTAGGTCTAACTCAGATGGGGTAATTTAGCCTTGAATAGTGAACATTTTGTACAGTGCTACATAGACTTAGATAAGAAAAATTAAGCATAGATGACATGGAAAATA